CGCCGTGCTTGTCCGCGTTTCGGTCGTCGGCGGGCAGCCACGGTTGGAGTGCATGCAACACCATATCTTCTTGCCAGGTGACCAACCATGGACCCAGTTCATATAGCCACTTTCACAGTCAAACCTCAGCTCACACTCACTCCTTGAGCTGCGGCGAGCACAAGCTGGCACAAATCCTCAAAAGCCCCCTTGCGAACCTAAAAGCGCAAACATGTTAGGTCCAAGGGGCGCATTCTGTGGGCAGCCCATGCCCAACTCAGCGCAGCAGTGCGCTTGCTTTTCAACATCCCAGTAGAGCTTCACCTTGCCAAGAGTCCAAGAGGGACTGAGCCGGATGCAAACACACTTTGGAATGGGCAGTCCTCTCAGTCGAGACTGGGCCCGGGGCATCATCCAAGCCGTCTCTGCAATCGTAGATCGCTCCACCGACTTGGATGACCTTCTGGCGCACCCGCAGCTGTTGACGTAAGAGTTGCTTTGCGCTTAGCGTGGATTCACGATTAAGCCAAGGTGAGGGCGTCACAGCATGCCGTTCTTGAGTAGCCCCCACATCCGACATGCCAAACTTTCGCAAACTCGCAACTGCAGGTTGCCCACCTGGTCGTTGCCCCAAAGCCTGCGCTCGTCTCCAAGCGTAGGCTGCGAGGCTTGGCCGTAGAGGGCATCGCACCATGCCTGCAAAAAGATTGACACGGCAGTCAACTCACATTCATTAACATTCACCGCTTCCCCACCTTCTGGTCCGCATCGCGATTTTTCCGCAGCGCGCCCTCGGAACAATCCTCCTCCGTTGGCTCTGATACTACCTAAGCGACGAAGCGGCATTGCGTCAAACTCTTCCGGAGATAGACAGGCTAGCTTGAGGAGGCCACTCCATGCAGCGCTGCCAGCCCAATTGTCCACAGCAGCTGCATCCTCAGGGTTCAGGTGTGGCCCTTCCCTATGCCCCCCCCTCCCCCAACGTGGGACCTCTGCGCGGCGCCAAATCCACAAGCGGAAGGCCGAGCTGTGAGCCCGACGGCCCCGCTTCTGCGCGAGCAAGTCTTGCACCTGCGCCTTCCCTGCTTTTAGTGAACTTGGTGCCTTGCTGCTAACACGCTTTAAAGCCTACTGAGGAGTGGCTCCGGCTGCAGCTATGGGGCACCTTTTGCCGCACACAGCTTTTGGTAAACTCAGCCTAGCTGACACCCCTTCAGCTCAGACCATGCCAGCTCCGGCCAGGATTGCAAGAGCCCAAGAAACCGCCCACGGCCCACAATCTAGTAGTTTGCCACGGTTTCCAGCCTGGGTGGGCAGCAATCAGCAAAACGTCCCAGAATATGTTTGTCTATCGAGGAGTCGCCCAGTCACTATGTTAGTTGTGGGAGGCGTGGCTCAGACAACTCCTATCCTGGCATAAGCTTTAAAGCAAGCTTCTGAAGCACGCTCAAATGCAAGGACCTAGAGCTTCCTTGCGCCGAGCTTCTTGGAAAGCAAGCACACGCAGCTGAGGCATATATCAACGCTCCCCACCGCATATCGTCGTTTGTTTTATTCAGCTACCTCCAAAGACCAAGAACTCCAACCTCCGGGCGTGCCCCAGCTCCGGAGATGCACGGCCCAACTGCCTGCGCGTTGCCCTGACCCGAAGGTCCGAAGGTCCCAAGGTCCCAAGGTCCCAAGGTCAGGGCTTGAATTCGGCAAAATCTGGCTGGCCATTTGCCATCTTGGCCCCGAGGCAGACTGTACATGCTCGGCTGGCTTCATAAGAACAGCGGGCAAGCCTACTGCGAAATCCAGATGGGGTATGAGAAGCCTTGGTGGGTGGCCCTGGGCTGAGCCAAGGTCCTGCCATCCGGCACCCCACCCACAAAATCTAAGCGCACAAAGCCGGGACAGAATGGAGCATCCGCGAGTATGCAAAGTCACTCTTCGCATGGTGCTGATGGTTCATCCTGCGCGGCCCAAAAATATGTAACCAATCCCTGCCAACCATGGATCCGGAAAAAAATAATAACCCGCATTGATCTCGAAACGTCAAACATGGGCCCATCTTGGTCTTTGGCGAGCATGGCCTGCAGCAAAGGATGCGCGAAGAGCGACGTGAGCTGAGGCGTGACCTTCGACGCTGCAGCAATGATGTCCGCAGGCGCGCCACCCACGGCGGCAGCCAACGGGTGCTGAGCCATGCCTGGCGAAAGCTAGTCTTCGGTGCCGCCTTTAGAGCAAGGCGCTCGGCTCAGTGCATGTGCGCTGCCCCCAACAATCCTCTAGGAAGTCTGCCCACACTTGGCTACATTTGGCGTGGGGATTTTCTCCAATTTCATAGGGCAGCATTGAAAGGACCTGAGTTAAAGAGTAGCTGGCATCTTCCCATGGAAGTTCCAACATGCATATCATTCTTCTGCTCATTGTAATGTTGGGGGGGGGAGCTCTATCCGAAATCCTGTTGTAACATTTCTATCAAATGATGCTTGACTGCTCAGTCTTCCGCAGTTCTAGGGCTGGGCCCAAGCCAAAAAGCAAAACGTGGCAAGCACGCAAACGATTGAGCTCACCGACTTCCGAAGTCATCACAAGTCAAGTGAAAGCTCGCTGCTGCCCAGCAACGCTTCAGCAGCTGACGCCGTGGCGTAAGTGCCAGCGGCTCGCCGTTGGGCCGGCTGCTGCCTCGGCTTTGGGGGAAGGGGGGGGGGGAGATTAATACATCGCCTGAAGTCATGCCCGGCAAGAACCAGCCAGTGACACAGCTTACTCCCTAAACAACTCACTAATAGCACCGCCTAGCTGGCTACACACCTGGATAATTACAGGTAGAGCCAACAGAATACACCTGGCTAGTGAGCTAACCAGCTTACAAAATAGTTGGCTTAGCCAATCAAGCAACTAGCTCTCCAGGTCAGGCAAGGAGGTCGTGGACAACCGTGAGTGCATTTTTTTGAGTAGCTGCTATACGCTGCAAAGTCTCTGCATCGGACTGCTGAATTTTGAGCGCAACAAACGCAAGATCTGGAAGCTGCTGCGCTAGCCTGCACCTTCCACCTTGCGCAGCAGCACCCTGCAACAGGCACCTTGCAACCGCAACCTGGCAAATCGCAGCACCCCAGTTAGACCACCCCCCCGGCTAACTACCGAATTAAGAACCAAGTAGCTGAAGAGTGTTTGATAACTAATCAAACATATAATTCCCAAACTAGGCCGATAACGACCTCACTATATAACTCACCAACCCGTCTAGCTCAGCCACTACTCGGCTCAACTCAAGTCAACTCAACTCAGACTGAAACTCAACTCAACTCAACTCAACTCAACTCAACCCGCTCACTGACTGGCACTGACTAACTAACAAATTGCCTAAAGAGGGAAGTGGCTGAGTGGCTTAGCAGTTCACAAGCTCGATAGCTTAACTAGCTTGACTGGTTGGTGAGCGATGCAACTGGCTAACTAGCAAGCAAACTGGTTCATCGGAGGTCCAGCACGTATGAGGCACACCGGCCTTCTTCCAGAAGGGTTGAAGCACAGGCGCATGCCACTCTATTTGGACAATCCGAGCCCTGTGACCCTAAGTCGAGGCAGCAGGGAGTTGCACTGCACGCTCCCATGCTATTTGCAACCAAGCGGGCTGTCCAGGTCACGCTGGAAAAGCGGCCGGTGCGCTCGTCGGGCCAACAGCAGGCAAGCGTCCTGCAGCCCACTTCAGACCACTCAGGCCCATTAGAGGGAAATTCATCGCGCATACCTAGGAACCCAAAGTAGCACCATGCGTTGAGGGCTGGCGGTCTTCTGCCTTGACTCACTGAGCAAATCGTATGACTGATGCCTCTGCCCAACTTGCGCTGCACGACCAACATTTCAAAACATGCGCTGGCCTCGCGGCAAAGTGGCTGTACTTCTATGGCAACCACCTCAACGGCAGACCCGCTCGACAAAGACGAAAAGTGTTCGACCGACTGGGCCCAACCTGTTCGGGTTACCCTGTGATACTTGAGTCAAGAGGGCTGTGAACGACCCGTCTGCACATGATACGTGCTTGTCAACTCAGTTTCTAGGAGAGATTTCTCAGCTCGCTGGCAGGCCTCCGTGAGAAACATGACTTTACAATCCTTGGTTGGCGCCTACGTGGAGAAAAAGACACATGGCATCTGGAGAAAGCACGATGTTCTCGAACAGGACGCTATTCAGACCCTCCCTTGCCTGCCTGCGCCGATCAAAATACATTCTCGGGCTTAACGGTCTTTGCATGGCTCCAATCCCAGCGGCAGAATGGAATGCTTAAAGCCTCCGATCCGCATCCCTGGGACACTTGGACATCGCTTCCATGGTGGCAAGTCGAATGGCCCAGTGCCAGTGCACAGCTTCCTCCGCGAACTGCTCGGAATCTCAAGGAGGGCTCTAGATGCTGGGACCCTGAAAGCATTTCTTGTCGCAGCGCGGTTGACGAGTTAAGACCTGGAAACTGATGGCAATCAAGGAGCACGGTGTGCCGTCAGTAATAACAAGGATAGAAAGGACAAAGCTTCGTTTCTATTTGCGAAGGGGGGCTTGCATCCGCCACCCCGCTACCCCACCTTGCCGGGAATGGGCGCGTCATAGCGTGGGAACCGCGAGGCTAGCAGCACCTTGAGAGAGGTCTCTGCCAAGGCCTGGCGTCGGTTCCAGTCCGAAATCGGAAATCGCGGCCCGAAGGATGGAAAGGAACGCTGATCTGCTTGATTTGACTGTGCTGAGAACATGGGTCTTGCCAGTCTTATAGCTGATTGAGCTATGCCATCCGCAAGCCGAAGCCGTCTCCGTGCCTCGCCAAGGCACTTCCACAGCTCCTCTGCCTGGCTGTTCTATCTAATTGCCCAGCTCGCAACTGTCCAAGCCAGCCCCTCAAGATAAGCTCTCAGAAGAGAAACGGAGCAAAAAGATGCCACAGAATGCTTATTTCAACAAATCCATTGCGGCTCAGGAAATTAGTTTGATCAGTTTGAGGGTTCTTGATTTGACATTGTTCTTGGAAAAGCCGCCCTAAGAATCGCCTCATGTTGACACATGCGGCCTGGCTGGAAGAGGATCGAGTGGCTCTTGCTTAGGCAACGCCACGCTGATGAAGAAGACGCACTATATCGGTTTCAGGGGAAGAATGGCAAGCTGGAAGGCAGGCAAACACGTCAAGTAGCCAGTGGAAGCTCCAGCCTGCCCATCCTCAAGTGCAAAGCTCTCATCAACCCCGTCCAAAGCCAGCAGCAGAACTGAGCCTGGCCACGGGAAACTGTGCGTTGGCGACAGGCGACAGGTCACCCAACTTCCCAGCAACAGGGAGCCTGGCATGTGCGTAATGAATAACAAAAAGTAACTTTAAGTTCCGGTGCCTAAAGACGAGCGCGTTGTGCACGTGAATATGAAAAGGAAAAATACGTTCGGCCAGATGAAGAAAACCAGGCACGGCATAAATGCAAACGAGCAAGGGTGAAGCTCACACAGGCGGTTGCCAGGAAGCCATGTCGCCTCCGACAACCACCATATCAGAGCTACCCCTGACAGCTGTAGTGCTGACACACCGGCGTCTGCCAATGGCTGGCCCGAGTGACAGAATAGTACTGCACAGCTGTGACGACCAAAGAGCTGTGACAGACTAAGCCCTCAGCCTCGTGGCCTGACAGACTGAAGATAACCCCCAGCCAAGTGCTTGTGCTTGCGAAGTGGCAGCAACAAGACAGGAAAGAAATATGGACACGCGCACCCATTTTTCGTGCAGTGTGGGTAGTCCGGCCGGCCGCATGCACCAGCCACCAAACCAAAGTCTGCCTGTGGCTGTTGCATAAGGGCCACAGAGCGTGGTATCCTTGAAATACTACACTTCCCCACGAGCTCCCTGATGCCTCAGGCTGGTACTGAGCCACATTTACACCCTGAAGCGCCCGCCCAATACTACGTGCAAAGATGGGCGGTTGGTAAAACTGGTGCCCACTCCTGGTAGCACCAACATCAAGTACTGCAAAGATACGTTACATGGCACGGCCCGGGCGCAAGCATGTGTGAAGCGGCCTGCCAGAGGTGGCAACTCAAACTGCTTTCTCCCATCAGATCTGTGCTGCCCGTTTGGTGCGCCGAAATCCGAGCAGCGCTCAAGACCTGGAAAATTGGACGTAAATGGCCAGCTTGCTCTTCAAAGAAGCCGCTGCTACCTGGTCCTGCGCCCTGCCCTTGCTCCGACAACGACGTCTATGGCAATCTCCGACCAGACCGTGAGTCTTCTTGGCAGTGGCCCGGCTCGCATTGAGTTGTGACAACTGTACTTTGAGGCTCCCGCAGGTGTGGCGGACAGTCCGCTGATCGAATACACGGGCAACTCATAGTAAAGCATCATCACGCAATTGCGTTTCGATGTTCGTCCTTGAACCTGGTGGAAACACAAATACTGCCCCTGACCCATCGCGTGGATGCTATCCTGTTTCAAAACTTGATCTCATGCTCATGTTGCTTTGGCAACCCAACTCGCGGAATTCAGCCTCGCAAAGCATCGCGGAGTCGTTGCAGCGCCACCGCTGGGCCCAGGCCAGACCTCGCATCTTTCGACTCCATGCTGCCTTCTCTCTTGAGCTCTTATGTCATGCATTCCGTGGGAGGATTCCAATGAGCTGCTTTCACTGCTTGGTCAAATTGTTACTGTGCTGCTTGGCTGTCGCGTGCTTGTGGAAATGTCGCAAGTGTGGGGGCAGGGGCTGAGCCCTGTGTTTTGTAGTTTGTACTTTTCGTAGGGGCCTGTTTTGGCCAAGTTGCAGACGCAGCAGCCGCGCGCCTCCACGGGTTGCGGCACCCGCAGCGGCCTCGGCCTCGTCGGGCACAAAGACGCGGCGTGGGGAGAAGAGCCTGGCAACCGGCGGACCGGCGCTCTGTAAGGTCCCAAGTGGAAAGCAGTCAAATCGTTGGCTAGTTTGCATACGGAATGTTCGGAGGTTCTCTGTGTTGACTTGAGACGCCTGTCCCCAGGCATGGCATAGAAGCGGCAGAACTCGGAGACCAAAGCCGATTTGCCGATGCCCGCCTCTCAGGGTCAGACAAGATTATGTTCAAAGCTCTTGCTCCAAGCTGTACTTTGCGCCTTCTGCATTTGCGCTATCACTGCTTTCTTGGCTGGAAGATACACGCATCTCGGAAGCGTGCCTTTCCGTGCAGCCACACCACTCTTCGCTGTCGCAGGAATGCGGTAGCCACAGCAGACATTGTCGAGCCTGACGCTGGCCCGCAAACAGATCGTCGTGGAACGCAATGACTCAAAAGAAACCAACCCAACTATAACACTTCCAAACAGCAGCCCACTTCGTTCCACTGCAGAACTCTGAGCACACCGAGCCTCTACCGACAAAGTCCTCAACTGCAGGTGGAAGATGGCTGAATAACCTTAGCACAGCTCAACTGAGTATGCAAGTTCTTCTTCGTTTGTATGTATACTATACTGTATGTCTGTATGTGCCTCTGTTGCGTTGTGTGGATAGAATTGCAAAGATTCACCTTGGCACATGTGCCTTCAAATGCAGGTATGAAACTACAGAAAACAAACCTCACCTCCTGTCGGGTAGCTGCTCGCCGGAGCTCTTCAGCGCTGCTGGCAACCGCGGCTCCCCACAGGCGGGCAGCTCCGGCACGAAGCAGAAGCGTTCCGCCTTTTCTGCGCCCAAAAGCCCCACCCTTTCACCCAAGCCACAACAGAAACCACAAGCCGCTGCTTTCTGGACTGCATGACTTATGTTCTGTCTGAACATGCCCGGCTTGATAAGGGAGCTGACACGGCTGTCGCCCTGCAACAGGACTCTTCCAGCGCTGGCAAAACCTCAAAACCTGCGTCACGCCTCCGAGCGCAGCCCCGGCTGTGGGGACAGCCGCACTGCTCGCTGTGCTGCCAGGAAGGCTGCGGCTGCGGCGCTGGTGGCCTGAGGCATTTGGAGCAAGTTCATCTGTGCCTCCGCAAGGCCACGCCATAAACATGTTGAACGGAAATGAGCATCACCTAAGCCACAAGAACAAGCCCAAGGCACACCAGTGCTCCCAGCTGCCACGGGAACCGCGGCAGCGGCCAATGAGCGCAAGAAGATGCGAAGAAACTCCCTGGCCGCAGCATCAAAGATCTCACCTCAGAATGGCGCAAAGGATGTCAGGCTTTGTAATTTCTTCCGCGTGCCCGCTGTAGTAAGTGCGCTCTTGGACTGGAACAGCTTTCGAGGGCGCTGTGGCCGTCAACGATGGGCTTAGAGGCATGAATGCGTGCCATTGTTTGCGACCAACATCGACTAATCCAAAGCCAGTTTCCCAGTCCAACCCTGAATCAACCCCAAACAAGCCCGCAACCTGAATCCACCCTAAACCTCAAGCCCAAACAACCCTAGCCGACCCCCCATCCCACCTTCACAGCTCTCCACTCTACAGCAACACTCTACGCTACCCACCTGGATATTTTTGTTTGGCCTGCGCATTTTTCTCACCATTGCAGCAACGCCCTAGTTTAATTTGAGGCGATAGTCGAAATGGCTGAAACGCTGAAACCCAATGCACGTCAATTGAAGTGCCGCCTTCACTCTGTTGAACACAACTATCTCACGACGAGGAGCCCCAAGCAGAAACGAAACCCTATCTAAGAAGAGAACACATCTCTCAAAAGGAATATGCTTCTCCGTGTTGAGCTCAACGTCAGCCGGATTTAGGTGACAGTGGAATTTGAGCGGCAGGGGGAAGCGGTCAAAAACAAGCATGCCAGTGAAGACGACAGCTAGTTCAACATCGAGATTGGGGTTTCAGAATGTTGTGTTTGGGATTTGAGTTGTCTCGGGGTTTGAGTGCAGGGTTCCAGGGTTTGGGTTTAGGTTTGTGCGTGAAGGGATGCCCTGGCTACAACAAGAAATTCCAGGCCCATCGACGGCTTTGCAGACCAAATTGCCCATGTCAACCGAAACCTGGTGTTGCATGTCATTACATGCCCAAGTCCGAGCAAGGCACCGGCACAGCCCACAGCACAGCCCGCGCCGTCTTCTACGAAGCGCCGTGCCAAGGCCTCCGAGTGGCAGGCGTCCACCAGCACCACATCAAAGGCACCTCAGTCTCTCTCTCCTCCGACGACTCCTCTGACTCCTCTGACTCGCATCTGACCCTCAAACTGGCCTATGCACGACGTGGCTGCCATGGCGCTGGGCTTTCCACCTGCGGCCACCTCCGGGCCATTCAGTGCAATGAGGTCGTCTAAGTCACGCGACCCCAAAACGTGGGCATGGCCTCGGCCATTGGCAGCTCCAAACACGAACTGGGACGAACTGGGACAGGCTGCGCAAAGGGCCTCCTTTCTCTTGCCCAGCTGCCCACGTTGTCCTCCAGCATCAGCGAGGGCTGTGCCAGGGCCGAGACTGCACAGTGTGCAGCGAGCACCAGCACGCGCACACTGGAGCCACGCTCCGTCCTGGCCCAACCAGTTTGTTTGCCGTCTTTCCGCCCACCCAGCTCCAACTGGTGCATCTGTCCTCCACACCTCCGCTAACGTTTCGGTGGTCGCTGTGCGCACCTGCACACTTGGCATCACTTGGCCCAGTCAGGAAAGCATCCCTCACTGGGAGATGAGATCCCTACGCGTCCCTATCAAAACGACATAGCCGCATATAGCCGCCAGGCAGCAGTAAGCTGAAGCCCTGGGATGGCGGCCAACGCTTCGATCTCCGTTCGGATGTCCAGAGGTGCGAGGTCCAAAGGTGAGGCGTAGAGGTACTCCAGCTGCAGCGCCACCTCCAGTACTTGGCACTGTCTTCTGCTTGGGTGCTCGGACTTCGGACAGACGAACACGCCAAATAACATATGTATATAAAATATACGCATACATGCAGACACAACATGAGGCCATGGGTACATGCAAACCGACACAAAACCACATATGTATATAGAACGAAAAAAGCAAGCAAGCAAGAAAGCAAGCAAGCAAGCAAGCAAGCAAGCAAGCAAACAAACAAACAAACAAACAAACAAACAAAGGTAAAGATTGACCCACTTAACGATGCTTGCTTGTGTTTGTCCTTGGCAAGTCAACCGTGCATCCTTCATAGCAGTATCATTTGATTTACAGAAGGCAACGCGACAATGTAGCATGCACGTGGTGGCTGCAAGGAATCACAAAAGGAGACGTCAAAGCGCTGAGATGCCGCGCCTCGCCCGGAGGTCTCGCGCTGCTTGTACTTTGCTTCCTGGCCACACTTTCAAAAGTGGTTGTACCAAGCCGTAACTAACTAAGCCGCAACTACCGCAGTTGCTGATTGATGCGCGCAACCAGAGGAATGCACACGTGGGTATTCAGCATCTGGCACTCGACAGCTGGCATTTCCGGCGTGGGCCCTTCTGCCACGCACTCAAGAACTTTCTCAATTTTGGGGCCCTTGGGCATTGCGAAAGACAAAATGCTTGGAAAGAGCCCCACAAGCCCTGGGCGCATTGAGCCGAGCATCTTGGAGTCAGGCTCCTCCTCTCTCGCACGCGGCGAGCTAGGCCTCTGTCTCAGGAGTCTCTGGCCGACAGTGGTGACGGAGGCTTAGGATTCTACTTCTCGCTAACAAATGTACTAGTGTGGTTTACCTGGCAATTGTCCGGTGCCACACTTCATTTGCAATTTCCCAGCGCGATATCTGAGGTTTGCTGGATTCCTAGGCGCTGCTGGCGATGTTGATGGTGCTGGCGCCAGTCCAGAAGCCAGCTGGGCAGATCTTCCACCAAGTCACCTTGGCTAAAACAGGGCCCAGCAACTAAGTCGATGTGCTTGTGGTGTTGGGGCAGTTCTGAGAGCACAGCCAAGGCAACTAAACGTTCCTTCGCAAAGTGAGGGAACAAGGGCTGGCCTAAATGCGCTACTCGCCTTCCTGAACTCGACCCAGACAAGCACGGACACGGGTTGCATCCAGACTGCCGGACCTGGTGCAGACCACCAGGTCCTCCTCACGTAGGAGGGAGTGCAGGTCCAGCACCTCAGCAGCTTCTGGCCATGGTGCGATCTCCCAAAACATCGATGCCAAGCTGCATGGGCGTGGCCGGCAGTGCAGGTGGGGCAGCGGATGCCAGCCCTGAAGCTGATCCTCCAGTCTCGAGCTGGTGATTGCCTTGTCCCTGCACACGAACCTTCAAACTCACTGCTATATATATATATATACACCTTTTTTTTGGCCGTCCTCGGCATCCATGCAGCAACGGCATCCCGAAAGCTGTGCAAGAGCCAGACCTGAGCAGAATGGGAGGCTAACCTCTTCCCTGCCACATCCTGAACGGTCCTCTTGGCTTCTTGCTCACCACAACCTGCTTGTTTGTTCTGGCAACATTGCCCATGCTTTCTAGGGGAAAGGTCCAAATCCGGCAACATAAGCAAAAAGAGTTGACTCTTCCGGACAAAGCAGCTAGAAGAAGAAACGAAACATACACAAAGTTCTTGCCGCTCATAACCTTTCTGATGCCATAATACCCGACCTCCGCTGGGAATTTCTGGCTGCCTCACAAAGGACAAACGTCATTTGATGGAGTTGCGATCTGCGTATTTATGCCAATAATATGACAATAGGCTACACAACAGGTGCCTGGAACCTCCCGTTCTTGCCGACACTCAAACCCGAACGCGACCATCGATCAAGTCACTCCACTGTAAGCGACGGAGGGGTTCTGCCTCTTCAAGAGACGTTGCCGCGTTTGCTCTGTTAGGCTTGGGAATGCTTGATCCTAGAAAGGTTGGTCGAAAAGCCAAGCCTAGAATTGCGCATCTCCCATGAGTACCGGAAAACGAACAATCAGCACCCCATCAAAATTCCTCAGCTGCCAACGGTGTCCGCAGTTCCCAACCGTGCCCCTCATCGCAGTTCCCAAGTCCGGCCCAGCCGCCACGTGCTTGAAGGACAGCCGTGCCTCGGCCCCGCGCCGAGGCCGCAGGCAGCAGCGCAAGAACTCCCCACAGGGCCTTGTGTCACTGAGCGAATGGATTCAAGTACAGGCAGGCGATTTTTGCTTCGAACGCTACAACCAATCTGCACGCTTTTGGCTGCGCCAGGCCGCTGCACAGAAACCAGCAGCATCGACATGGTCCGCCGACCCCCCGAAGATCGCAGGGAGTCGCCACGTGCCTGTCCCTGGGTGGAGATGGCGAAGCGTGCCTCGGGATCTTCGGAAAACATCCGGGGATGCCAATTCATGCTGCGCAGTCCTTCGGGCAAGTGGGCCTCAAGCCAAACATAAAACATGCCCAAAGGACGCGCAACATTTCTGGTAGCGCACAATTGAAAATGAACCCTTGTCCACTCAATTGCTTGCGTGCGGCCGCACTTGAATGAGCCAGAGACCAAAGACTGCTGATGCCTAGCTGGACCCCTGCTTCGCCCTGCAAGCAAGTGGCATAATTGGCGTAAATGGAAAGGATCTGCACGCCGGATTCGACCCTGCTCAAGCTGCAAAGCCTTGGGCATGGACACCCACGCAGTCAAGGCACTTCAGTGCAGATTGACCGCCCCCAGTAAGAATCAAAGGGGCAAACGCGGAATCAGCGTCGGCAGCAGGCGTCGAAGCAGGCCGTGGAAGTCGAGGTACAACACCACGGCATCCTCCACTTTGAGCCAAGGGCACATCTTGCCAAACAGCCAGTCTAGGCCCAAATTGATCCACCGACAACCCAGATCCAAGTGCAAGCGGTTTCAAGTCGACATGAAAATTGGCCTCAACGTAAAAGGCATCGCACCCTTTGGCACTTCTTTCGGCCGTTGTCCAAGAAGATGTCCATTGCACCTTCTCGCTTTCTCGCTCTTTGAGACTTCAGAACCCGCAGTGCCTGGCTGGCAGCCTCTACTTCTTCACGCTGCCGCCGCGGCAACTGCGAGGGCACCAGAAAGAGCTTCTGCACATCCGCGTGGCGGCCCGGGCCCCTGATGCACGGGAGAACTATCCAAGCCTTCCAGGCTTAGCTACCAAAACAAAAGCGAGAGAGCCTAGATCCTGTGTGGCCTGATCTACCGCATTGCACCGCAGCTCAAGGACTCCTAGCATTAACCCCCTATTTCGGAACTGTTTGAGTTTGCCCCGCGCAGGTATGTCAAACAGCCTGGTTGGCAGCAGTGAGACCACTCAAACGTCCCAAAAGGCACAATCAAGCTGAAGCACGGAATTCATACCAGCGGTGGAAGCACCCAAACATGTAAGGATAGATATAGTTGTATGTCCTTTGTCTTGTTGTTTCCTCTCTCTCTCTTTCTCTTTCTCTCTCTCTCTCTCTCTCTCTCCCTATCTCTCTCTCTCTCTCTCTCTCTCTCTCTCTCTCTCTCTCTCTCTCTTTTGCACTTTCTCTTTATCTTCCTCTTTCTCGTTGAAAATCTATATATCTGTATATCTATATTATTTACAAAAACCTACAAATCTGAATATCTAAATATCTATACATCTAAATCTATCTGTCTGTCTGTCTGTCTGTCGGTCTCTCTGTCTCTGTCTGTCTGTCTGTCTGTCTCTGTCTGTCTGTCTGTGTGTGTCTCTGTCTCTGTCTCTGTCTCTGTCTCTGTCTCTGTCTCTGTCTCTCTGTCTGTCTGTCTGTGTCTGTCTATGTCTGCCTCTCTCTCTCTCTCTGTGGCTGTCTGTCTGTCTGTCTGTCTGTCTGTCTGTCTGTCTGTCTGTCTGTCTGTCTGTCTGTCTGTCTGTCTGTCTGTCTGTCTGTCTGTCTGTCTGTCTGTCTGTCTGTCTGTCTGTCTCTCTGTCTCTCTGTCTGTCTCTGTCTTCTATCTGTCTCTGTCTGTCTCTGTCTGTCTCTGTCTGTCTGTCTGTCTGCCTCTGTCTGTCTGTCCGTCTGTTTCTGTCTGTCTGTCTGTGTCTGTCTGTGTCTGTCTGTCTGTCTGTCTGTCTGGCTGGCTGGCTGTCTGTCTGTCTGTCTGCCTGCCTGCATGTCTGTCTCTCTCTCTCCCTGTTGTTAAACTACAGTGAGTGCATGATACAGTTGCATGTGCACTACACTGATGTTTGACACATACCGCAGGCCTTGAGCCTAACTTGAACTACATCAGGAGAAAACAAGAGCTGCGGCAGACTACATTTGTTTGTGAGAACAACTGCACAGAATTTGCACGTGTATCTTAACGCGGTAGCGGAGCTGAGATCCTACCCAAAGGGGAGCCCCAGTAGTAACGACTACAGTAGCACCCCAGTATGCCCAACTACTACGACATGACAGTAGGAGATCAACACGCAGCATCAGCAGGAATACCACCAGAGACTACAGCAAGACAGCCCCGACAACCTGGAGGAACACCGGCAGCACCCAGCACAAACTACAGGAACAATAGGTGCAACGACAGCAGCAGCACAGGCAGAAAGCGACGTGCAGAGACTACACAAGTACAAACTACCACCACCATACTTCAATGGTGACTGCTCCAACTACGATGAATGGAGATTTAAGCTACAAGCCGACTTGGAACTCATCGACAACGAGTTCGACCACATACTACGAGCAGCAGATGTAGCTAAAAGCACAGTGGTAGACCAAGTACTGCCTGACACTGCAAGAGGCCACAAGCTTGTTAACCTTGCACGTGATCTACACTACATCCTCACCAGCATCTGTCAAGGCCCAGCAGCTACAGTGGTCAGACAAAACCGCTACACCGCCAATGGTTGCGACACACTACGACTTTTGAACAACAGGTTCAGCCTACCAGTTGGTACAAGAAGCGTTGGCTACTTGACCAAACTACTGAAACCTTCACCCAGTGAACAACAGTTTGAAGAGCAGTTTCTACAATGGGAATATGACCTCAACAGGTACAAGCGCGACAACGGAGCAGCATTACCAGATGGAGCATAGATTGCAGTACTACTCAATGAGACACAAGGAGCACTCCAGCAACACCTTCAACTACCAGCTGGAAAAAACGACTACCTACACGGCAGTGCGTGATGTGGTGATCGAGTACTACAAGACCATCTCGGCATTCTCCAAGATGAATACCACATCATCGGCAGTTGGTAGCAACTACGGAGGTGGACCAGCAGCAATGGACGTTGGCTACAAGGACAACGAGGAAAGGAAAATGCAATTACAAAGGAAAAGGCAAAGGAACACCACCATGGCCATTCAAGGAAACATGGGGCAACAAAGGCAAAGGAAACTACGGGCATAACAACAGTAAAAACAACAAAGGCAAACGACACAAAGGTTCATACTACCAAGGAGGCAAAGGCAAAAGCAAAAGCAAAGGAAAAGGTAAAGGAAACTACAACAACAGCCAAGGAAAAGGAACATGCTACAAATGCGGCAGGTACGGTTCCCAAAGGTCACGAGCTACAACCACAAATGGACCACGACGGAGTTATGAGAGCTGTAATACAACCAATCACTACGGACAACCACTTGCCACAACACAACGCTATAGCACCACTGACTCACACTGACCAAGAACTTCGAAGGATCCTTGGAGGAAACACTGGCTAGTGGCAACCACACCAGAGGATTCCGGATGCCCAATACCTACAGAACAACTAGACGACTGGAGACAAACTACAGTTGTCAGAACTGACCAGGAACCGGAGTTACTACAAGACTTCATGAAGCAAATCTCCAAACCGAATTTCACAAACGACTACCCGGTGACGGCTGGGTTGGTGAAACTAGGTTCAAGAGAAAGATGAATCCTACGCAAAGGATCACAGGCAAAATTACAACCGCACAGAGAAACAACCAACAACAACTACAACCAGGACATCACTCACAATGCGCACTCCACAAAGTGTTTGGAGGCCTAAAGCACAACCAACACAACCAACGAGCATTGACACACCGGCACCTACATCCAAAACAACTAGACCACCGACACAACAAGAAGAGAATCAAGACTACTGGGGACGACAAGGAGAACACTGGATCAGACACTACTTGGTGCCACGCACTACAGTGTTCATTCCAACAAATGGTCCAGGACACCCACCAATTGACTCACTTGAGCCTTAACAGAACTACAATCACCACCAACAACTTCAACGAAGTCAAACAACACAAGGACAACTGGACCACAGCTGATAACACTCACCTACCTTACACATGGACCGGTACAACACGGCTCACTGTGAAGGAAGGATACCACTACATGGATGACAACGTCCTTGCAGATGATGAACCACACGTAGAAGCACAACGAGCCAAAGCACTACCAACCTACACCACAGGAAGTTCATGAACATGCACTTACACATCTTCCCTACAGAGATTGGTGTTCAAAGGGAAGAGGACGACAAGACAACTACACAACACAACGAACACGACAACCCGTCGTTCAGGTCGACTTCGCCTACATCAAGACCAACCAGGAGCCGTGACCTACAGCAGTACTGACAGCAGTTGACGTAACTACACAACTGTGCATGGCATGTCTCGTTCCAGACAAGTCCTCAATGATGGACTACATGATCAACAACCTACAAGCATTCATTCTGGAATGCGGTCGCACAAATGGAATACTACAAAGCGACAACGAGGACACACTCAATGCACTACTAAAAGCCACAGCAGCAAAACTAGGATCCATGACAGTACGACACTCACCGGCCTACAGCAGTACAGTAGCAGCCAAGGAAGTGTAGAACGACTACACCGAACACTACTTGGCAAAATACGCACTTTCAAGGCACACGGGATCACACTCAACGTGAAACACCCCTTACTTCCATGGATCATACGACACGCTGCGCGGACTATCAACCGCTACGAGTACACTCCGACGGCTACACCAGCTTCGAACGACGCTGGGGGCGCAACTACGAACGAGCAATCGTAGACTGGGGGAAACACTACTGTACATGCCGCCACAGCACAAGAGTCTACCTAAAGCCGAACTACGCATGCAGAAATGCATCTGGTTAGGTAAGGTTTCCGAAACAGGTGAAAACTACGTGGCTACAGAACAAGGAGTGACGAAAGTACGCACGGTGAGGAGACTACAACCGGACTTCAAATACTGAACAAGATAACCGGAACTCTATGGTCACCGAGACGGAACACCTACGACCCGAACTTCACGACACTCCTCAAAACTACGGCACTACGACCGCCGTCGCAATCTCTACGACCACCTCAGCGTGACGCAGGGCAACAGACACACGCGGAAGACGACGTACCACAACCACCACCAAGCAAACAAGCGCGAACTACTGCAGGACCAGTACTACCTTCGACGAGACCTTCGACCGGATCTTCAAGTTCGCAACTACCGGACTCACCAATGGCTACATCACCAACCACACGCCGACATCCACCACTGCCAGCACCGCCAACAACAACACAACCACTACGACGACTAAATCGAGACGAAATCATGCAAGCAACTAAGGCTCAAAAGACGACAGAAGGAACTACTGTCAGGACGACCGAACAAGACACTACAGAACCACAATCACAACGACAACGGACCAACATGATCGCAGCAATCGAACTACGCAACGGAACTTCAATCCAACCGCACGCTGACGACGACCCCGACGAACAACAGCAACCAATCATTCT